TTTTTTTTTTTTTTAGCAAAACATTTATTGGTACATTTTAGGTATACATAATGATTACATTCATCATTGGGAATTTGTACCTGTTAGATTTTCATTTTCTTTTCACTGAAATCCTAGAACAGCCTCCCCTCTCGAGTCAGCTCTCCCCTCAGTCCCACTTCCCAGGTACTTTCTGTATTCCTTATGTTACTTGATCTCAGTGGGTCCTGTCAGGATTGGGCTCCAAGCCTGACTCTGTTAATTGTGCTGGTAGCCAAGTATATCCCGCCCCCAGCCCCACAAGTTATAAACTCAGTGTTCACATAACTCAATTACGTGGACTCCCGCATGGACTGTGTGGGTGACAAGGGTACTCAGCAGGGAAGGGCCAGGGCAGTGTAACCCAGCCTCCTGTGGCCTAGTACACGGTGATCCCCCTGAAGCTCTGGGCCTCAGACGCCACGGGCACTTATGCCCCAGGCAAACGAGATGCAGCAGTGACCGTCGGTTATATTTCAGCCTGCCTGTTTGTGTGCTCCTGGGAAGGAAGTATCTGTTCTTCCTAAAGACTTGTAAGCTTTTTTATTAAACTTGGGCGTGTGCTATTTCATCAGATAATTTAGGAAGTTAAAATATTTTAAAAAGGAAATTTTATTACTTGTATACATTAATGATTATATATTTCATATGCAGCCCAAGACAGCTCCACTTCACTCATTGTGGCCCAGGCAAGCCCAAGGTTGGACCCTTGTTTGCTAGACCAGCCCATGGCCCCTTCCCCTTCCCTCCAGGAGTATGGAATGAAATTGTTACCCCTTAATCAAATTCTCCCGTTGTTTCTTATTAGCTCTTGGTCCTTAAGGCACTTGATATAATTTCAAAGCGACAAAAAGTAGAAAAATTTTTTCCAGACGGTAAAGAACGGGCATCTCATGAGCATTTAAACAGAATCCTGTTTGTGGAATTATATCGCTTGGCCTTCTCAACCTACTGTGTTCTGAGGCCAGGCCACTAAAGTATATAACTTTAATCCCGCTTCCAAGGACCTTACTATCGTAAGGTCCCCAAGTACCCTTGACTAGTATGACACTAGATTCCTGTTGGCCTGCACCCCTAATCCTGGCACTCTGGGAGGCTGAGGCAGAAGGATCACAAGTTTGAGTGATACCCTGTCTCAAAAAAGGGCTGGACAAGGTCCCGAGTTTGATCCCAGGTACCGAAAAGGGGGGCAGGACTGGAGATGTAGCTCAGTCCAAAGGCCCTAGGTTCAGTTCCCGGCACAATGCACAAGTGAATGAATGTCTGAAAAGTTTGAGCTATAAAGGAGAAGCCCTTTGCCTGTAGTTTTTGTGTGTAGAACTTCATATCCCTCTGATTCTTCAAGAGTTACTCAGTGGTGTCCCTGATCCAGAGGGAACCGCTGCTTTTCGGCCCCATGTTTTTTTGTTTTGTTTTGTTTTGTTTTTTGGGTTTTTTTTTTTTTTTTAACCTGGAACTCACTATGTAGTCCAGGCTGGTCTCGAACTCACAGCGTTCCTCCTGCCTCAGCCTCCTGAGATTACAGGCGTGCACCACCACGCCCGGCTTCAGCCCCGTGTTTGCCTCACCCATCCACAGCCTGCTTCCTGCAGGCTGCACCATGTCCCCTCCACGGCCCACCTCAAGTTAGGTAAATGGCTTCTCTGTGTGCTGTGTTTAAGTGGACTGCCCTTTTCTTGCTATTTATAAACATGTAAGATATTTCTAACAATTTTTCTGTTTCACAGTTTGAACCTTCTAAACCTTTTATAGTGTGAGGTAGAAAGTTGAATAATTCTTCCCACCCTGCAAATCTGAAATACGGCTGTTGCAAGGTCTCCATTTTGTTTGCCCATCCATTTCTTTTTGTGCTATTTTAATGTCAGCACTTAACCAAAATCTTTTAATAGTCTGATGTTGGAAGTCCTGTTCACTTGTCTTCTTGGCTTCCAACTCTTACTCATCCGTGCATCCATTCCATCTCAACCACGCACAGTGCCCGTTAACTTGCTTGAGGGAAGGAAGACAGGAGAGAGACATGGGGAAAGTCGGGTCTTCAGGCTGTTCATTGTAGAGCAGGGAAAGGCCATAGCTCACCAAGTGTTCACCTTTTTTCCTCTTAGTGAAAGTTTATTTTAATATGTCCTAGCAATTTGTTAAGTTTGGATTTACTCTTTCTAAGGCAGCCAGGCAAAATTTCCAGCCAATGAATTATAGTAGTTTAAATGACTTTCATTCCACATTAAGCTTCCAGACTGTCGTGTCTAGAATAACAATAAATTGAAGGAGGCTGAAAGAGAGGCAAGTGTGCTGCTGGATCAGGAAGAGGGCTGCTCAGGTTGGCCTGTGGGGTTTTGGGCTCCACTCGGGAGCAGGGCATGAAAGAGAGGCCCCAGGCTTTTCCCCAGGACAGTGCTGTTACTGGAAATGGGCTGCAGGGTTCATTTGTTGTCTGATACAAAAGAAATAGAAGATGGGCTGGGTATTTAGCTCGGTTGTTCCACCGCCTGCCTTGCAAGCACAAGGACCCGAGTTCTATCCCCGGTACCAAAATAAAGAAATAGAAGAGGTCTGTTTACTCAGTTTAAATTCTGTCTTTTTTCTTTCCCTGTTGCAGGGGACCGTGATTAGGGTATTTTCCATTCCAGAGGGACAAAAACTCTTTGAGTTCCGGAGAGGAGTAAAGAGGTAAAGTCTATAATTCCCTGGGCTGATTCTGGAGCTTGTATCTGGCTTTTGATTTCCATTATCTGTGACCCAAAAGGTGTGATTTGAAGGTATAGCAGGGAAATTCTGGTTAAATACAAAACCCTTGTCTACCCAGCAGGATAAACTGACTGATGTTCAAAGGCAGTCTGGTCAGGGCAAGGAGAGAGCACTTCCGTGAAAGTACGCTGGGTCGCCTATGCCTATGCAGAACCCCCGCTGGTTCCCTACTGCTAGATGACTGGCCAGAAGTCACCGTGGGGAGTTCCCTCAACTGTCCCACAGATAGAGCCGGGTGTGCCTCAGTGTCCCCATTTCAAAGGGAAAGCCAGATGATGTAGTCCCTTCCCGACTGCCTGCTCTGTTGTCCTGCTTCCTTGTGTCCCTTGGATTTCCTCACACCTCCTTTTTGCAGATGGTTCTCCTTGTACTCCTGCCCACTGACTCTGGGTACCTTAGATAGCGATAGCAGGCTAGGATGTGCCCATCTGCTCCTCATCCCTCTCACAGGTCAGCTTGATAAACAGCCTCAGGGCCCAGCCAGGCTTTGGCCCTTCCTTCCCTCCTGTGCATCCAAGTAGCACCTGCTGTGTCCCCCACCTCCAGCCATGTCCCCTGAGCTCGTATTCATTGGAGTTGGCAGAAGAGGTCCATATAGTTAGGTCACAGCCCACTCGAAGCCTTCCCTGCCCCCTACCTGCAGGATGAGCCTCCTCCCAGGTGCATAGTCCTGCTCCATCCTCATGTCCCAGCTGCACTGCATGCCCAGATCGTCATCAGAGCAGAAGTGGCTCTGTGGGTCCCACTGCTGTCAGGGCAGCCTCTGCTGGACTCACAGTGAGATTCCTTGCTCTGTACTGTGCCAGAAACTCCCACTTGTTTTTTCTGGCACACTTCTGCTGTGGCAGACAGTACCTGCACGCGCATGCACACCCACACCAAGCACCATCAAGGCCCCACCACACCTGGCTCCCTCATTACCCCCAGGCTCCAGTGTTGGGGGTGGTACAGTGTAAGCACTGTAAATATCTGTCAGATTGAATGAAACACCTCCAAACAGCACACATGGTGCTTTACATTCCTGGAGTTAAGAGAAAGTTCCTGTTTATGTAATTAATGGCTTTGAGATTTCTCAGTGATGTGTAAGATACACTGGAGACTTAGCATGTGCAAAGTTGTGCTCTGTATGTAAAGATCACCAAGCTTACTGATCTACCCTCTGCAATGATAAAAATTTCAGTAATTTAAAGTATTGGGTTTTCTATAACTAACCTCAGGGTTCTAAATCCATCCTAATACAGCCAAAGATGGTTCCATACCATCCTGACTCTGGAATTGCAAAAAAAAAATGGGCCATCTAGGGATGTTACAGAATTGTTCATACTTGGTTTTGCCTCCTGAACATTTTCCACTCAAGTTTCTGAGGATGTCGTAGGAGTACGAGGGCATCAGCAGACCCAAGTCCACCCAGTGAGGCTGTCCCTCCATCCTCTCATGTGCCTTGTCCCCCAGGTGCGTGAGCATCTGCTCGCTGGCCTTCAGCATGGATGGCATGTTCCTCTCTGCATCTAGCAACACCGAGACTGTGCACATCTTCAAGCTCGAGACTGTGAAGGAGAAGTGAGTTACAAAAGGGGTCTGTTTCCTTATTCTCAGTGTTCTCAGGACTTAGCCGGGCTCTGGGGTTGGGAGCCAGGACCTTCAGGCGCTAGGTGCACGCTGTACCACTGAGCTACATCTGGCCTCCGAGTTGTCCCCCAACTGTCCAGATAGAAGTGTAGCATAAAGCCTCCCTGCTTCCTGCCTCGTTGGCCAGTGCTGTCCTGGCTTGGTGATACCCTTTCAAGTATAACACGTGGCAGGTGCTCCTCACTCTCCATCTTCTGGCCAGGGGTGGGCGTGGTGGCACACGCCTGTAATCCCAGCATTTGGGTGGCTGAGGCAAGTTCCAGACTAACTAGGCTACATAACAAACAAGAACCCTGCCCTAGAAAAAAAAAGATTAGGCCAGGCTGGGGCTTCAGATGCACACAGGTGCCTTGTGACCAGCTCCCTATCCCCTCTGCACCTTGCATTGCACCCCACATACACAGGCAGCCGGGCTCAGCACTCACTGGAAGAACAGCCAGCCCTCAGCAGGGAGAACAGGGCTAATTCAATCTCAGAGTGGACAATACACTGAATAGGTATAGTGAGCAGTATGCTTATATTTTTTTCCTTAAATTTTGAAAAGAATATCCTGTTAGGATTAGTATTGTTTGAGTTGAGTCCTATGTTGTGGGAGCTTTCTGTGGGTTTGTTTTGGTTTTGATTTTAGAGACAGGGTCTTGCTGTATATCATTTTAGGTTGGCCTTGAACAATCCTCCTGTCTCAGCCTCCTGAGTGTTAGATTACAAAAATGTGCCACCATGCCTGGCTCAGTAGGGGGAACTTTTTGAGACAGGGTCTCATTTGTAGTTGAGGGTGAACTGTCAGATGGGCTGGAGTCAAACTTGCAGTCTTCCTGCCTCAGCTTTCCAACTACCTTAAAAACATACATGAGAGGGGCCAGGGATTTAGCTCGGTGGCACCGTGCCTGTCTTGCAAGTGCAAGGTCGAGTTTGACCCCTGGTACCCCAAAAAAACCATGAGAGGGCCAGGGATATAGCTCAGCAACACAGCACTGCTCTGGCAAACACAAGGCCTTGAGTTTGATTCTTGGTACCAAAAAGAAACAAAACAAAATGAGCGGGGGTCAGTGATACACTTACCTAGCATGCTGGAGGCCCTGGTTCAATCCACAGTACTGCAGTAAGGGGCCTAGGAAACTGCCTTGAGAAAGGCAGCCGGCCACCGAGGAGGACTGGTTCCTCCTGTTCTGACTCCCACCAGGGAGACGAACCCTGGCCTGCGCCTGTTTTCCACAGCCCCCTTCTTCATAGAGTAGAGCTTTTGCCATTTTGGGTTCAGGGATTGCGGTGAGTGATGGGGACACATGCCTCCAGGGGATCCACTTCCCACGTCCGGTGACCTCTCTCTGCAGGCCCCCTGAGGAGCCTACCACTTGGACTGGCTACTTTGGGAAGGTGCTCATGGCATCCACCAGCTACCTGCCCTCACAGGTGACAGAGATGTTCAACCAGGGCAGAGCCTTCGCCACCGTCCGCCTGCCCTTCTGTGGCCACAAGAACATCTGCTCCTTAGCCACGTAAGGACAGGCGCCCACTTCCTGGCTCTGCAGTCCCACGGTGCTTATCAGGGAGTTATTTGGGAAGGACCATGGTGGGCCTTTGCAGAGTTATTTGGGAAGGACCTGAGTGTGTCTTCTGGGGGGTGGGGCACAAAACCTTCCATTGCCATTTTGCTGAATATTTCATGTTGATGAACAACATTAAATCAACCCTTTGGGCAGCTGGGCGTGGTGGCGCATGCTTGTAATCCCAGCACTCGGGAGGCTGAGGCAGGAGGATCGCTGTGAGTTCAAGACCGGCCTGGGCTACATAGTGAGTTCCAGGTTAGTCTCAACTACACAGTGAGACCCTGTCTCAAAAAAACAAAAATAAGTAAATAAACAAACCCTTTGGGCCACAGAAATGGGCATGACAGCGGGAGCCGGCCTGGGCAGCACGTGCCATCACTGTGCTGCTTAGCACGTAGCCGAGTCCCAGACACCCACCTTTGTAACCAGAGTGCTCCAGGCACCTGCAGCGGAGTCCTTGTCCTCTTCTGCCAGGTCTGCGCATGCCTAGCAGGATGTCCCAGGGCAGTCAGCAGGAGACCCTTCTTAGGTCAGTGAGGCCATTTGTGTAAGCTACGCTCTTAGCATGTGGCTGCTTTGGTTCCCACTAGAATTCAGAAGATTCCCCGGTTATTGGTGGGCGCTTCCGATGGCTACTTGTACATGTACAACCTGGACCCCCAGGAGGGCGGCGAGTGCGCCTTGATGCGACAGCACAGGTGAGAGTCTCTGCGGCCACCATCTTGGGTACAAAGCAGGGATACCAAGGTGATCCCTTATGCTGGCCTGTGCCCTTAGGGGCTTCCCTGTCCCAGATTAAAACAACTCCAGCTGGTGCCAGGGCCTCTGGGCTGCAGCACAGCAGGAAGAGGGCTGTGCTGTGGATGCCCCTGTGTGCAGAACAGCAGGCGGCCCACCCTGGCCTAAAGCTGGGGCTTAGAGTTTTGAAAGTGAAAAAAGCCAGGACATAGTGGCCTCCCCAGGCCACACGGATCACTGGAAGACATGGGGTTTGAGAGTCATACCTGTTCGTTGGGAGTTGGGAAGTGATGTAGTTTGCCTGTCTCTTTCACACCTCTTATTTGAAGGTTCTGAATACAACCTTGTAATACTCTCATAGTCAGGAGTGGAAATGGTAAAAGTTGTTTCCTTAATACTGAACTCAATCGTTGGTCATCCCCTTTAAAATGAGATGCTGTAACTTGCTTCACTGAGCTTGCTTTGTGAATCGCCAGGGGACAGATGCCCAGGGTGGTGGGTCAGCAGCCATAGTGTAAGGAAAGGCAGTGTCCATCTGTGAGTGGCCTGTTGCTGGCCTGTTGTGGCTGCTGAGCTGTCCTGAAAGCACTCAAGCCTGTTCCTGTCCTTGGCTCTCTGTAGGCTGGATGGCAGTATGGAGACGACCAGTGAAATCGTAGACTCTGCCTCTCACGACTGCCCCTTAGTAACACAGACCTACGGCGCCGCAAAAGGTGCTTATGTGCCCTCTTCCCCCACGAGGCTTGGTAAGGGGCAGGACGCGAACCTGGAAGGTAATTGCTGCTGCAGGAGGTGGTCCTTTCTGGTGTTTTCACTGGTGTTGCCACCTTCTGTGGGGTTTGGGGGAGTGGTCATCCTCCCATGCTGGAGGCAGGAGGGAGAGCAGCGTGGCTATGTGGCAGGGAAGCATGTGGACAGGCCCCTGAGGTCACCTGCACCTAGACCCTTGCTCCACGTGAGCTGGATCTCCACGCCCTGGGGACTTGGTTGAGAGATGCCAGGGTGTGCATCCTGCCCCCCATTCTCCGAGGTAGATAGCCCTGTGGGGCCCAGCTTCCATATAGTGAGTTTGAGCGTCTCCCCACTTGCTAGGAAAGCACACAGCCTGCCCGTTCGTTGTGCGTGCCTCATTTTGACACTGATGAGTGTGGGAAGCTGAAGGGTCTTACATTGAGCTGCCTGAGGCTGTAGAGACCCTGTTAGACAGAGGAGTGGTTCCATTCAGAAGTCTGGCCTGTGGGTCACGGTATCCTCAATGCAGCCCCAGAACCTGTAGCTCATGCCCAGCACTCTGAGGGTGGCTCCTGTGTCCTTGCAGCCTACACTGAAGACCTGGGTGCCGTGGGTGGCATGTGCCTGGAGGACGAGGCCAGCGCCCTGCGCCTGGACGAGGACAGCGAGCACCCTCCCATGATCCTGAGGACGGACTAGTGAAAGACAGACTCAGCAGGGGATTCTGCATTGCTGCTATGGACTTTGACATAGACTGGGGAGAGGATGGCAGAGACTAAAAACCGTACTAGTCTAACTCCATACTTCTGAGAAGAAGCACCGTTTCACTGCAGTGGCTTTTAATCCTGCTTATGAATTTTAGCTCTTTGTTTTCTCTCTCTCTCTTTTTTTTTTTTTTTTTCCAAAGTT